ATATGTATTTGTGCATTTGTATGTGGCAGTGTATATGTGTGTATATTTGTGTGGCAGTTTCTATGTGTTTCTGTGGGTGGAAATGTATCTGTATATGTGAATAAGCGCCTGCATGCATTTGGGCCGAATGAATGCTGGAGCGAATTCCCAGACTCTGAGCCGAAATGAACCCAAATGACGAACCAAAAAGGCTGCACAATGACTGAACATGTTTGTTTGGATTCTGCCTATGGCGTCAAAGAAAGAGATAACTAAAAAAAAAAGATGAGTGGAACAAGGGAGGAGCAGTAAAACTATCTATATTCAGATATTAAATAAATACATTATTTGTTACTGTTCATCTCTCTATTGGATACTTTTTCTCACTTGATCTTTGAATCAAATAGGGGGAGGTGTTTCTATCTGTGTACTGCACAACATACAATGAGGGGGAGTATTTGATCCCCTGCTGATTTTGAACATTTGCCCTCTGACAAAGAAAAGATCAGTCTATAATTTTAATGGTAGGTGTATTCTGACAGTGAGAGACACACAAAAAAAAAAAAATCCAGAAAAACATGTCAAAAAAGTTATAAATAGAAATATAGATACATATAGATATGCCAAAGCATTTGATACAGTTCCACACAATAGATTTGTGTTCAAACTCAAGGAAATTGGTGTAGATGAAAATGCTTGTTCTTGGGTAGAACATTGGCTTAAAAACAGAGTACAAAGAGTTGTCATTAATGGTAAATTTTCAATCTGGACAAAAGTGGTAAGGGGTGTCCCTTCTATTTAACATGTTTATAAATGATTTGAAGACAGCATTGAAAGTCATGTATCAGTGTTTGCAGATGGCACAAAACTCTGTAAAGTAATAAAATGTGAGCAGGGTATTACTTTGCTGTAGTGGGATTTAAATAGACTAGGGACATGGCAGATGAAATTTAATGTTGAAAAATGCAAAGTTATGCACTTCGGCGTAAAGAATACACAAGCAACGTATACCCTTAATGGAAGCGAATTAGGGATAACAACACAAGAAAAGGACTTGGGAATTGTTATAGACAACAAACTATGCAACAATGTGCAATGTCAATCAGCAGTGGCCAAGGCCAGTAAGGTATTGTCATGCATGAAAAAGGGCATTCATTCTCGGGACGAGAATATAATTTTGCCTCTTTATAAATCACTGGTAAGACCACATATTGAATATGCTGTGCAATTTTGGGCACCTGTTCTAAAGAAGGATATTATGGCACTAGAAAAAGTGCAGAGCCGGGCTACAAAATTAATAAAAGGAATGGAATATATCAGTTATGAAGAAAAGTTAACAAATTTAAATCTCTTTAGTTTAGAAAAACATCGAGAGTGGATATGATAACATTATACAAATATATTCAGGGCCAATACAAACCATTGTGTGGAAATATATTCAGAAACCGGACTTTACATAGGACACGAGGTCATGCGTTTAGACTAGAAGAAAAAAGATTTTGTCAAAGACAAAGAAAAGTTTTTTTACTGTAAGAACAATAAGGATGTGGAATTCTCTGCCTGAAGAAGTTTTATCAGAGTTCATACAAATGTTCAAACAGCTACTAGATGCATACTTGCAAAAACAGAATATTCAAGGATATAATTTTTCAATGTAGGGTAATAACTGCTTGATCCAAGGATAAATCTGGCTGCCATTCTGGGGTCAAGAGGGAATTTTTTTCCTAGTTTGTTGCAAAATTGGAAGTGCATCAAACTTATTTTTTCTTTTGCCTTCTTTTGGATCAACAGCAAAAAACAAGTGTGAGGAAGGCTGAACTTGATGGACGCCAGTCTCTTTTCAGCTTTGTAACTATGTAACTATGTCACTATGCTTGTCAATGAGTGAAATAAGTCTCCATTCATTTCAACACAATCCTTAGATTGGGTTACAGATAACAATCTCCCTCTCTGACAGATAACAACAGTACACAGGGACACACATTAAAACAAATTCCACAGGGGGGGTAACCTTTGGGGCTTTGCACCCCGTGAAGGGAAGGGGTCACATAGAAAAAAACCTACATCTGGGATCCCTGCAAAAAGCAGAGCCTGAGAAATCGTCGTCTAAGGCTCTGTACATCCCCAAAATTAGTTCCATGAAGTTGCTTGGTTTAGACCGGTGAATTCAAACTTCGTGCCCAAACCAAGCAACAACCAATCAGCTGAAAGGCGCAAAACCAAATTGCATCTATCAGCTCACAGGGAGGAGAGGAGTATCGCCATCCATTCAGAAGAAAGCGCACAAAACCCGGTGGCACCAATCAGCAGAAAGGGCGCAAAAACCCATTTTCAAAGGGCGCACACTCTTTGATTGGTCATCTGAGCCCTGCAGCGACCAATCAGCGCTCACTCATGCCGACCAACTAGGAGAATGGCACAAATCCAGTTTGAATGGGCGCTCCGTCTCCCATTGGTCAGCATGGACTTCCAGACAGCCAGCGGGACCCATGTGGCTGTGCAGCCGACTCACAGCTCCAGGGATTCCGCTTGGGCTCGTGCCTCTCTCTTGTGGTTACTTCTCTCTGGCCTCGTAGCTGCCGGGTAGGGGAAATAGTGACTATAGCTCTGTTAGGAGCAGGTAGAGCGATCCCTGACTCGGGGACCTGAAACCGTGCAGCAGGCCTGTTTGGGAAACAAATGCTTTCCCTGGTTGGCATTCGGTTATATTTACCGGCGGCCAACCAGGGGAAGCACGCCCCGCTTGTTTCCCTTGCAGTTTGTGGTTTTCACACCTCGTTACGAATGCATCACAATTACATGGGGAAACACAGAATACAAGGGAAAATCATGGGAATAAGCTTTGGGAACACAAAATACAAGGGCAAAACATATAAATATTCTGTGGGCATGGTACTTAGTGGCGGTGGTCCGCCACATAGGTTTTCACCAAAAATGTGATGGTATAATGCCCCATCCATCGTCCCTTTGATGTGGTGCAGTTGTCCTGTACCCTTAGCAGAAAAACACCCCCAAAGCATAATGTTTCCACCTCCATGTTTGACGGTGGGGATGGTGTTCTTGGGGTCAGAGGCAGCATTCCTCCTCCTCCAAACACGTCAAGTTGAGTTGATGCCAAAGAGCTCGATTTTGGTCTCATCTGACCACAACACTTTCACCCAGTTCTCATCTGAATCATTCAGATGTTCATTGGCAAACTTCAGATGGGCCTGTACATGTGCTTTCTTGAGCGGGGGGACCTTGCGGGGGCACTGCAGGATTTCAGTCCTTCACGGCATAGTGTGTTACCACTTGTTTTCTTGGTGACTATGGTCACAGCTGCCTTGAGATCACTAACAAGATTCTACATGTAGTTCTGTGCTGATTCCTCACCGTTCTCATGATCATTGAATATCCATGGTTTGAGATCTTGCATGGAGCACAAGACAGAGGGAGACAGTTATTTTGTTTTTCTTCCATTAGCGAATAATTGCACCAACTGTTGTCACTTTCTCACCAAGAAGCTTGGCGATGGTCTTGTAGCCCATTCCAGCCTTGTGTAGATCTACAATCTTGTCCCTGACATCCTTGGACAGCTCTCTGGTCTTGGCCATGGTGGAGAGTTTGGAATTTGATTGCTTCTGTGGACAGGTGTCTTTTATACAGGTAACGAGCTGAGATTAAGTGAGTGCTCCTAATCTCAGCTTGTTACCTGTATAAAAGACACCTGGGAGCCAGACATCTTGCTGATTGATAGATGATCAAATACTTATTTCACTAATTGACATGCCTTGGGCAGCACAAAACCAGAATACACCACTGCACCTTGGTAACTCACCCTGCTTCCACTCTTATACCATTAAAAAAAATGTATAAACAATTCTAGTAACCTACTTTACCTGCACATAAAATTCCTTTTAACCTAACCCCGTGTGTAACTTTACCCCACTCCCTCTGGAATGTGAGCTGGTTTGAGCAGGGCCCTCAGCACCCTCTGTTCCTGTGCGTCCAACTAGTATTTTTGAAATACTTGTCTGTTAGTCCACCTGTTATACAACGCTGTGGAATTTGTTTGCACTTTCTAAATAATAATAATAATAATAAAAGTATGTACATGTAAATGTGTACATAGCCAGGGCAATAAGTCCTAACTGAGTGGTGACACTAATTGAATGAAACTACTTTAGCCTAAAAACAGGTCCTCCGCAAGGTCTGGGTTCACCTAAGGGTATTTTATACTGGCAAAGGTTGTTCTAAGCTTTCCTGTAAATATTGTAAATATAGTCATCACTATGAGCACTGTGACAGCCCGTCATTTCTTGCCCATTTCTGTGGATGTAAGAAGACTTTACATGCATTAGCACATTGTTTGATATTTCTTCAGTCGTTCCAGGAACATTAGCGAGTTTGACAGTTTGTCACAGGCTCTGTGTCTGCAGTCCATGCAGAGTGACTTTTTATGTTTGAACGCAGCCCTTTGTCTGACGAGGCCGTTCATTTCTCCAGTTCTGCACCAGTTGCCTCTCCTTGCAATGCCCCAGATAAAGGATTTCACAGCGATATTTCAAGCAAAGATAAATTATAAATATTTTAACGTGGTTACTTTAGTTTATGTTTTTTTTACCAGGTGCTTTGGAAGTTGCTGATTATCTAACAATGCATAATAAATAATATAACTGTAACACAGAACCCCTCGAAAGACCTTTTACACAAACTAAACACACTGAGCAGACTGTATCTATTACACTGTCACTCTATACCATTGAAGGGGAACTTCAAACACCAAAACCACTACTGTTTGCCGTAGTTGTTATGGTGCCATGTGTGCACTGATGTCCCTATTGTAAGTAGTAAAGTGGTTTTGAACAATTTGATTTAGTGGTATTGGATGGGCGATTGGAGCATGGAGCGGTGCGTGGTATTGGAGGCATGGAGCGGTGCGTGGTATTGCAGGCATGGAGCGGTGCGTGGTATTGGAGGCATGGAGCGGTGCGTGGTGCAGGCATGGAGCGGTGCGTGGTATTGGAGGCATGGAGCGGTGCGTGTGGTATGGTATGCATGGAATATGGTGTATTGAGGCAGATGGCATGCGAGTGGTATTGCATGGTAGTGGAGGCATGGAGCCGTTCGTGGTATTGGAGACATGGAGCTTGCATGGTAGTGGCGTGCTGGAGCGGCGGTATTGCAGGCATGGAGCGGTGCGTGGTATTGGAGACATGGAGCGGTGCATGGTAGTGGAGGCATGGAGCGGTTGATGGTATTGGAGCATGGAGCGGTTTGTGGTATTGCAGGCATGGAGCGGTTCGTGGTATTGGAGGCATGGAGCGGTGCATGGTATTGGAGACATGGAGCGGTGCATGGTATTGGAGGCATGGAGTGGGGCGTGGTATTGGAGGCATTGAGCGGTGCATGGTATTGCAGGCACGGAGCGGTGTGTGGTAGTGGAGTCATGGAGTGGTGCGTTGTAGTGGAGGCATGGAGCGGTTCGTGGTATTGGAGGCATTGAGCGGTGCGTGGTTTTGGAGGCATGGAGCAAGGCGTGGTAGTGGAGATATGGAGTGGTGCATGGTATTGGAGGCATTGAGCGGTGCATGGTATTGCAGGCATGGAGCGGTTTGTGATATTGGAGGCATTGAGCGGTGCATGGTATTGCAGGCATGGAGCGGTTCGTGGTATTGGAGGCATTGAACGGTGCATGGTATTGCAGGCATGGAGCAGTGCGTGGTATTGGAGACATGGAGCGGTGCATGGTAGTGGAGGCATGGAGCGGTTTGTGGTATTGGAGGCATTGAGCGGTGCATGGTATTGGAGGCATGGAGCAAGGCGTGGTAGTGGAGACATGGAGCAAGGCATGGTAGTGGATGCATGGAGTGGTGCATGGTATTGGAGACATGGAGCGGAGCGTGGTAGCCACCAGGTAAGACGGGATTCTGCTTTACTTTCTTACCTGGTGGCTGCCACGCACTGCTCCATGTCTCCACTACCACTCCTAATGTTCTTGCTATCTCTCTGATGTGTTTATTATTATTTTTTGCTCCCTAAGCATGGCCTGTTTCACTTGCATTGAGAGCTCCTTTGACCACATGTCATGGGTTCACAGCATAGCCTCCAAATTAGAATGCCATACCTGGAATCAACTCCAGACATTTAATCTGCTTAATTTATGGAGAAATAACAAGGAATAGCCCAAACCTGTCCATGAAACAGTTTTTGAGACATTTGTCCAATTACTTTTGGTCCCTTGAAAAAGAGGGGTCTGCATAGAGCTGTAATTCCTAAACCCTCTCCAATCTAGACATGAATACCCTAAAATTAAAGCCGAGGGACTTCACTTTAAGCCCATATTCCTTATTTAACTAACTTGAATTTATTTTGGTATTTAGCCGAAATTACAAAACCTGTGTCCGTGTCTAAATAAAGGATCTAACTGGATAAATGCTTCTTATCTAATACACAGCCAATACTTTGTAGTTTATGGCAATGTGTGTGTGTGGGGGGGGGGAGCTCTCCAGATAAATGACGGGATTCTGCTGTCCTTTAAAATGAAACCATTGTTTTATGGATTGTGGACGGAATGCTCGGATTAATTTGCTACATGCTGTGGATGACCAGAGGAAATGGGAAGATGGGGGAAGTCTCCTCTTTGGGTTGGTACTGAATAAGCCACTCTAGAAGGACAGATAACACATTAGAGGGACTCTCCAGACGGGAAACAAATCACATTTTAAGAATGGAATAGACTGAATGTTACTAAATAAAAAAGGGAAGTTTCAGTGTTTGCTGTGGTTTACGGGATATGTAGGAAATCACCTGCCATTCATAAAAGGCATACTACAGAGACGGCGGCACAGTAGGGTAAGTGTGTTTGTTGAATAGCTCCGTTCATGTATGTTCAGGAATGAAGTATGATATTTGTAGCGGAGATGCAATATTCCCCAGGTTGTCTCCGCTTATAATCCCAGTGAGGCTCAGGAACAAGTAAATAATAAATCCATAGGCAAAGTTTCCAGCAGGTAAAATAACAGCAATCTCCCCACAGCAATCCCAATAACTGGACGACACACAGTTTCAGGAGCAGAACTGACAAGCCTTTAATCACAGTCTCCTTATAAAGCATGCTCCCATGCAAGGGAGGGATTACAGTAATTATTACAGTAGCCAATCCTGTCCTGGTAACCTCCCACACATCTCCTCCCCTCAGCCAGCATCATAATCCCCTTATCCAGTACACCAATTCCCCCTGTTTCTGGATGTACCCCTAAACGTAGGGGTACCTCTTTAAATCCTACATCCCCTGGTAGCCCTGATCTGGGTGAACAACATATCCAAAAACCACCCAGATCAGACCAGGGGTTCGGGAAAAGTATGGAGGAAATAAAATGACCGACCGCACGAACTGAGATAGCCGTATTCGGTTCCATGTGAATGGGCCCTGCGGTCGGTCCTGGCATAAGGGAATAAAATACACGAAAACCTCTAGCTATAGAGGCTAGGGAGGGTTCGCCTGAATCCCCTCGTTCGGTATTCTCTATCTACCGAACGGGGGGCCGTTCGGTAGTTTGGAACCGAACGGACCAGGGCTGTGGAGGTCTCAGCGGTGTTCGCCTACTCGAGTGTCCGATTTTAGTTCCAGACACTCGACGGCAAAACACCGCTGTTCTGGAGTTTTAAAATGGCCGCCGCCACGTGTTCGTTTGTCGAATGGCGGCCACCCCCGAGAACAAAGGACGGCTACTTACTGTTCAATTACCCGTTCGCAACAATGTTGCAACGGGTAATTGAGGACACACTTCACACAGGGGAGGTCTGGTTGTTCGGTAGTTTCATTCGAATAAACTAAGGGAACGAAACTACCGAACAATCACAAGAATACAAGGCTTTAAAACACATAGGAAACTAACAGGTCCCACGAATGCATTTATTTCACAGACATTTTCAGGACAGCCCAGTGCCATCCGCTACACTGCTCCCCCTTGCCCACAAGCCGGCATACACAGTCTGATCCAACACGGATCGGCTTGGGGATGTCCGGGGACTCACGGATCATTTCTCCAGGTCAGTTTGTCTTGACAACCCGTCGGCATTGCCATTCTGTTTACCCGGGCGGTACTGAATATTAAAGTCAAAAGGCTGCAGCGCCAAACTCCAGCGCAGCAGCCTGGCATTGTCCCCAGACACCCGGTTTAGCCAGACCAACGGGTTGTGATCCGTGAGTAACGAAAAAGGCTGTCCATATAGATACGGCTGTAGTTTCTTTAAGGCCCACACCACAGCCAGGCATTCCTTCTCGATGGCGGCGTAGCTTACTTCTCTGGGTAACAGCTTGCGACTGATGTAAGCCACGGGGTGTTCTCCGCCATCGGCCCCGACTTGGCTCAGTACTGCTCCCAATCCAAACATAGAAGCGTCTGTGTGAACAAGAAAACGTTTAGTTGGATTGGGAGCTGCCAAGACAGGAGCATTTATCAGTGCATTTTTCAGATGTTGGAATGCCTGCTCACACTCCGTGGTCCAGGTCAC